CCCCTCCCCCTCCAACAACCAGGCCCTCTCACCCAATTAGCAGAAAACGCCCTAATTGAAAGCAATACCACGATGGGGTTCCGAGAGCTATCCCATCATGTCTGGATATGGCACGGGATTGACGTTATTATTCTTTCTCCAGGTGTTCCCGACACAACTGAGACAACTTGCACGGCAACCACTAAATAGGGGTCCGTGAGACGTGAGTGGTACGTTCTGCACATCTAACTGTAAAACGAGATATAATTTTGACTGCACTGGTAAAAACAAGTGTGCAATATTTGCACACCAAACGTGTGCAAGTTGTGATTTAGCACATTACATGGTGTTTAACTCAGGTTGCACACTTGCGTGGTGCGCAAATTTTAGACGTTTTGTAAACGTTCAAATTCTGCACACTTGGACACACACAGTTCTATGCTGTCAATGGGGAACCATACGGTGTGCAGCTGCTATACGTTTCGCGAGTGTCGAAAGTTTAAACACCAACTGACGTTTAACATAGTTAGACACCACAAAGTGTCGAAAAAATGCACACTCTTGAACTTGAACGCCAATTGACGTGCAAAATTAAACACTTGTTTTACCAGTGTGCCACTCTCCAAGTTTTCGTTTTATTTGCAAACAAACAAAAATCTTCACAGCTAAAAGTGCTTAACTTTACAATGCTCGTGGCGTTTCGAACTTTACAACGTTTTAGTTTTGTCATTAAAACTGTAAAAGCTTATCAAATTGCAGTTTGAACTGAAAGACTGCACTCCACAAATTGTGTCTCTGACTTAACTACTAGGTGTTTAGAGCTGTTGTAATAACAACGATACACTGAAGTGCAGCAGCCTTATAATTTTTAGTCGCAGATCTTTTAAGTTCGGCGCCTGTTCACTGTGAAGATGCATTGAAATACATGATCAAAGTTCACGAACCCCATATTCCTTTGACGGAGGCCTCACCTTGGAAACCTCGAGTGTGGAGCTGAAGGGCAGCACGGCGACGCCGACCAGGAGGTCGGCCACGGCCAGCGACACGATGAACAGGTTGGTGACGGTGCGCAGCTTGGAGCTGATGTAGACGGCAGCGATGACGAGCAGGTTCCCCAGGATCACCATGACGTTGACCACGCCAAGGATGACGAAGACGACGATGAGGCGGGGGCTGTGCCAGTCGGCGCTCTCCAAAAGCGCGGCGCACTCCGACTCGTTCATCGGTCGCTGCGGCCCGCCCTGCGGTCCCTCCGCCCTGACATGAGCATGCTCACGTCATGTCCTGGAACAGCAAGAAATACAGAGTTATAACGCAATCCAATTACAGGAAAAACTCGGGATTATAAAAAGAGGACAAGACACTCTCAAGTTGGTATGAGTATCTAGCGCGGTTTCCATTCTTTCAACTTCAAAATGTGAAGCTTACTTCAAGAAATTCCCAATTCTTTCTCCATAAAATTTCCGCGCAAAACAGCGACAAGAATTTTGCCAGTCCAACAAAAACAGTCAATGTAAATAATGCATTCTGGTTTGGTGTACTGTAAGGAGGCCTCCCTCGGGCCGGGACGGGCGCGCGCTCGTGTGTTCGTCTCCCTTATTAAGTGGCGCAGCGTCGTGGGAAACACACCAGGCGCGCGGCGCCACACCTCGCGCTAGCTGCCGCCGCTGTGACTAAGATGGTGACGGAGAGATACGGCGGGCACCGCACAGCACAGCCCCAGCACAGCCCGCGCAGTGTGTAAACAGACGCGCTCATAAATTAGCCGCCTCCCATTCATAATCAACTAATAATGGCCTCACTAGGAGGAGATGAGGCTGCGCAGGAGGGGGAGGGCACTGGAAAAACAGACCTCCGCGCACTACAGTTTGTCTTTAACTGAACACTTCAAAGAACAGTTTTAAACTGTCCATTCCACCGTTTACCAATGAAGCAACAAAACAGTAAAAATAAGAGACTGTCCACATTATATGATAGTGCAAGATTGTTTTTATCACTGACGGTTTCTTAATCTTAGAGTAATGGGCGGTCAATGTGCGCAACAGTCGATCAACACAAGAGTCCCATCATGTTTATAAATTGCTGTGTGTTTATTTTATTATATTTTTTTACAGTGAGGGAGTACAGGAGCTAGTGGAAAATGATCCAACCATGCAATAGATTTTTTTAACAGAATAAACAATACATGGTGTTTCCTGATACCCTAAGACCATCAAAACTATTCAAGGATGGGGGTTGGAAAAACGCATGGGCCCGGGCGTCTTATAGATCGTTTCGAAAGGTCCTGGACATCAGTGACAAATTTTCACCGTACATAAATCAATTTAAACCAGATAAATTGTCGCCGGTAATCTGTTTCTGCGTGTGTATAACAACATTATTTACAGCGGATAACAAACGAACACTGACAGTGTACCCCATCTTCATTTTGCGGGCCGCGAAGACGAGGATCCTACTTCTCCCCGCACATCAGCAGGAGCGTCTGATATGAAATTAGTTTCCTATACTTGGTACTTGGAGGCGGCCGGGTGAGAAGCGATGCTTAAGGCCATAGACCAGGTCCGACGACGGTGAAGACTTCAGGACTAATTTTGTTCCGAGCAGCAGCAACAGCTCATCAAAGTCCACGACTGTACCTAACCCAAGTACGATGCCACCTAGCTCAGACTGGGTCAAATATCGAATTTCATTCAAACGAATCAAACCTACATAGGCTGCGTCCAAGACTACTGTTACAGAATTTCCCTCTTGCTCGCTTAAAATACGGTTTCAGGAAACATATTATACAGTGTAAGAATCATCTTTGATAATTTACCACAATTTATTTTTTTCTTTTGCAGTATGGGGTTTTTATCAGCTCTGTAAATTTGCACCTTAACAGTCTTGCTTGTCGAAGAATTTCAAGTCATTCAGTTGAATTAAGAACTGTTCAAAATCTACAATTTGGAATCACAGCATAACCACATCCCATGAATAATGCACATATGCCATGTCTAAGTGAAAAGAGCTGATGATTTGACAAAACCATCAACTCCAAAACTCAGAAACATTTTCAAAATTGCTCTTAAGGTAAGGATGGCTCCTGACACGGAGCAGCCTTACGCCCAGCTACGCTACTGCGGTCCAGCCAAGTATGAGCAGATGTGAGTGGCGGGCGGGGATATCATCGCGTCTTTATTTGATCCGCCGAGCACGAGAATGACTTGTGGAAAGTTTCTCGAGTTGCAATGCCGGCCGCAGAGAATGAGAGTGAGTGAGTTAGAATGATGTAGAGAGAAAGAGAAAGAGAGAGAGAGAGAGAGTGAGAGCGATGGAGAGAAAGAAAAGGGAGCGAGAGGAGGCGGGAAGTGAGAGAAGGAGGAAGAAGGAAAAGGATAAGCTAGAAAAAGAGACGTTTGGACCTGCCGCTCCACCCGGCTCCGCCCTCACGCTGTCCTTGCCTGATTAGCGCTGTCCGCCCCGCTACGCCCCGCCACCCACCGCCACGCTCCGCGGAGCAGCACGGCCACCCTGTCCTCTCCCCTTCACCCCAAGCCGGGCCACGCCTGCCTACTTTTTTTCCCCTCTCCTTGAAAATCAAACAGAACGGCGAGCGAGCGTGATTGATTTGAAATCAGACAGCGGGGAGGAACAGAGCGTGGCGGGGCGGGCCGTTGCGTGCCCGAGCAGCACGGCGTTAGCGAGAGGGCGGGCGGGAGTGACTTGCAAATCCTAGCGGCGGAAGCACTAATGCGGCTCGACGAAACTTGAACGCCTCCGAGCGCCGCGACACGTGGAGGAAGAGAGGGAGAGAGAGACAGAGAGAACCAGAGAAAGAGAGAACCAGAGAAAGAGAGACAGAGAACTTTACGGAGAGGGAGAGTGAGTGAGAGCACTGACCCTTGAGCCCTAACCGCTGAGGATGCACACATCTCCGTGTCCTCAGCTGCGTTATGGACCGGCTTTATTCTGCTTTATCTCCGGCTGCCGACCGACCTCGCCTCAGTCAAGGTGAAAAGGCCATCGCGACTGGCTTCCTGCCGAGACACTCTTCCATCTCTATCTCTCTCTTTCTCTTTCCACCTCGCTCACACACGCACTCTCTTTCTCTCTCTCTCTCTCCGCCACCACCCTCTCTCTACCCCTGCCCCCTTATCACAGACTCTCCCCAACCCCCCACCTCCCCGTCAGCGACGCGCCGACGAAATGTGAGCCCCACGGAGATAGCGGCGGGGTGGGGGAGAAAAAGAGAAGAGCACACTGTAAACAGTTTTCGCAAATTCGTAATTACACTCTAACCGTTTTACTAGAATTTGCCTGGTAAACGCTTGTATTTTCTACTGTTTTATATTTTCAAGAAATGCTTTAGTATTATAAAACTTTTTCCCAGTATTACTTAGCTATTTCCTAGTATTATGCAAATGAATGTTCCAAACAAAGGTTTTTTTACCCAAAAGTGAGAGAATGGAAAGAAGGGCAAGAGGAAGACGAGTGTAGAGGGTGGTGGCGCAGCCGGCAGCTTATCCCCAGATTTGCTTCACGAGGATGCTAATTGTTCCTCGTTAGAAGGAAAATAAAAATAAAAAGTTCAAGGGACATTTTTCAATTTGCGTGAGGGAGCAAGGGAGGGGGGGGGCGGGGGGCAGCAGCAGAGCTTTGCGTGCGGTCGCGGAACGAGCAGCGTGGATGAGAGTGCAGCGCATCCCTGTGGCCACCGCCACACTCGAGTGTCCGCTTTCCCCACCCTTCCCCACCCACCCCGCCTGACAGCGCCAGACACACGGAGCGCGGCGGCGGTGCTTCCCAAGGGCAGCCCGGTCTGATTTGACTCCACACCGCTACCCTCCTCACCTCCTTCTCCACCCCTTCCTCCTCCTCGCTCCGCCAGTCAGCCGCACACGGCTGCTCGTCGAACTTTACAGACCGTCCCCCGTACCCACCTCTTCTTCACCACCTTCTTGTAGCCGCGCCACCCCCACGCCACCCCGCGCCACCCCCGCGCCACCCCCGCGCCGCCGTCACGTCCTCCCTGCCCCCTAACCTCCCCATTAGCACCACGTCCGTCGCCCTGTCCATTACGTTGGTCGCGCCGCCGCGCCGCGTTCTCATTGGCCGACGAGCGGAGCATCGACATGTAGAGTCAGATAGCACTGCGGTTGGGTTGGCGATCATCCGAAAAGTACGCCCATGCCGTTCGCAGTACGTGCGAACCTGGCAGCCAAGTTCAACGGCATTGTAAGCTTCCGTAGCGCCTGATGGGTAGGCAACATCTTGCCTGCAGCGCATGCGTGTGCGGCGGGTTGGCCTATCCCGAGTCTCGCAGGCGCTAAGCCTTACTCACGCGAATCTTATAAAATTTCCTCGACGATCCACAAACCGATAATGAACCGAAATAACAAATATTTTCCGAAGGAAGTCTGCAAACCATTCATAGATGAAATCTAGAAATCAAACCCACTCTCGAAGTGTAATTTACAAATGGTTGACCGATCTGTTATAAAACAGCAGTTTCCTTATCGTCACTTTTCTTTCTCGTAAGATATGCTATACCGAGGGGGCCACCACTCTCTCTTTGGATGTACACATGATTGCAAAGATTGCGTGATTTCACATGATTTCACGGATTTCTCATATTATTTTAGAAGGTTTCACGCTAAAACCTGCCGGCAGATTATGTCTGATTTGAAGGATTACAGATGATTTCAGCGGATTTTACCGGATTTCGGCGGATTTCACAAGATTCCGGCGGATTTTACGTGATTCCGGCGGTTTTTACATGACCTTTTAAGGATTTCAGACTAAAATTTGCTGGCAGATTATGCATGATTTCATGATTGCATGTGGATTTCAAATGATTTCGGGAGGATTTCAGGGAGGGCGTACACATGATTTCAGGAGTGGAGGCCCCCTCGTGCTATACTCTGGTGTAAGTACAGCTAGCTTCCTTTAATTTACCAGAAGGAGTGTAGGGGGCGCATCTGACTGGGCTCAGGGGCGAGCACCTTACCTCGGCCAATGACTCGATCAACACCCCGCAACAGAGCGGCCATTTCTTGCATTCGCTTCATCGTACGGGGAAGGCAAGAGGGGGGGGGGGGGCTAACTCCCCAGCCCCGTACCCTCTTCTTCCCCTGAATCAATCGTCCCTTACCCTCTTTCCCCCTCCCCTCGGCCCGTAACGTGTTCGTTCGTCCAGAGGGGGCTACGCCTGGCGAGCAGGATACGTGAGGGGAATGCCGGTGCTGCGGTGGGTGGGAGGCCGGAGGTGGGGGAGGTCCGCGCAACACATCACTGCGGTAGACGCC